ATCTGCCATCATAGTGAGTAGAAATCTTTTACAGATACCAGTCAAGAGACAATGGCTGAATTGCACAGGAGGAAATTGCCCATCCTCCTGTTTAAGAGGTTTAAAAAACCATAATATGTGCTGTAAGTCAGTTAAAAATCAAAGAGGAAAACAAATAGCCACCAACTAGTTACCAAAAGAGAATAATAATCTGATTTAAAATTTCAAAAACCATACATTTGTTATAATAAACTACCACCACTGAAAAGAGAATCAGTTTTATAGTAGTGGGAATGTTTTAACATGCCATTTTTAATTATAGGGCAATTGAATAGAAAATCAGAGAAACAGATTATCTAAATAAATAAGTTCTATCTTAGATATAGAGAACATACCACCCAACAGTGTCACAGTAAAAATGTTTTCTAACACATGTGGACCATTCTTCAGAATATTTTAGTGCACAGCACAAGTCTTAGTAAATTAAAGAACACTGGCAAAATGCACATCATCTTCTCCAGTCTTAATACTGCAAAATCAGTAACAGAAACCTTACTTTAAAACTACTGGATAATAGAAACAATTAATAAATAAACATTTAAAAGTCTTAGAATCAAGTGAGAATGAAAACCAAACCGTGCTCAGAGAATTTATAGCAGGAAATACATTATGAAAGAAGTAGCCAATTTGGTCATGGTGTGTATGACAGCTATCAGGAACAAGAGGGGCATTGCAAAGTGGATTAAGGGAGGGATAAGAGGAGGAGAAGGGAAGAAAATGTATGACAATGAATGAAAACCCAGCATCTCTGGAAACCTTCCTTAAAATCACAAGTAAAAAATAATTTTTTTCATTAAAAAACAGTAGCCAAATTGATAACCCTACAACTTGAATAATTAGAAAAAGGGGAGCAAAAGTTTTTTAAAAATACCAAAGAGAAAAACAGTAAATACCAGTGTGTAAAGCAGATAAACAATAGAATCAACAAGACTAGAATTTGGGTTTTTGAGAGGATCCGACCCAGATAGCTTCATTGGAGATTCTACCAAACATTCAGAGAAGAATTGATACCACTTCTACTCAGACTATCCTAGAGCATAGAGAAATAAGTAACAGTATCTAATTGATTATAGACATATGCATCCCTTAGCTACCAAAGACACCACTTTAAAAATACATATGTGTATATGTATCACGATCAAGTTGAAAAAAACAATCTGCATATTTTGCCTCATAAGTAAAAACAAAAAGTCCTGGTGCCTGAATAGTAAGGAGTTGTGCTGCCAATGCAAAGACACATGGTTCAGTTCCACTAACTGCTCCAAACAAGACACGAGCAGTCTCCTCCCCTGAGATTCACAGCCTCTGAAAAATCTCTGGAGGGTCAGCTATGAGTTGGTTCTGACTCAGTGGCATAGAACAATAAGTAAAATTTTTAAAATTGCATCATCTCAATCACTATAATAAAGGCATTTGCTAGGAACACTCAGCAAATAGAAATAGTAGGAAAAAATCCTTGACATGCTCAAGAACACACACGCAAATCTAACGGCTAACATTTCTCTCAGGGGGGAAGTTCTGAAACATTCCTATTGAGAATGGAATGAGACAAGGATGCTCGGATGCTCTTTGTTTAATCTTATTTTGGATGTCCTAGCTAAAGCAGAAAGGCAAGACAGGGAGCTGAAGGTTAACCACATTGGAACGAAGTAGTACCATTCTTACTCCCAGATTGCATGATGGCACCATCAAGTCACTTCCCACTGAGTGACCCGCCATCAGGTTTCTGAGGCTGTAAATCACAATGAGAGGAGACTACCCATCTTTCTCCCATAGAGCTGCTGGTGGATTCAAACTTTCTGAGTCTTTGAATTAGCAGCACATCTCCGTAAGGACTATCCATGAGACTTCTCTCCCATGAACTTATACATAAATAATCCTAGAGACTCCCAAAAAACATTCTTGAAGCCAGCAGAAAGATTCTGTACAGAGTGAGGATATGTCTAGATTAACACAAAAATCAGTTTCGTTTCTCTACAGTAACAAAAGAGGATTCTGAAAAGGAAATCAAGTCACCAGGACTGTTTACACTACCTTCCAGAAGGATTAAATACCCAGGAATAACTCTATATCAGGGACGTAAAAGAATTAAACAAGGAAAGTAATAAAACACGGCTGAAAAAAAAGTGAAAAGAGATCTACATAAATGGAAAAACATTTCATGCTTACAGATTGGAAGATTTGATTATGTTGGTACTGCTAAAAGTGGTCTATTGGAATAATCTTGATTCAAATTTCAGCAGTTTCATGAATGAAATGGAAAAACTTATCTCCAACTTTATTTGAAAGAGAATGAGGCCCCAGATAGCAGATGCTATATTAAAGAAAAAGTAGGAGGCCTCACACTTTCATATCTTCAAAATTACTAGATAGCAAGGGTATTCAGAATATCTAGTGACAGTATACCAACCAGTGGAACAGAAGTGAAAACCAAAAAAGTATTTATATGGTAAATTAAAAAGTATATTAATAAATCTATAGAAAGGCTATTCTAAACAGATTTCAAAGAGCATCTTGAGAAGATAAACCAAAATATAATGAAATAAGCAAAGAGATGGAGTTAGAAAATAAAAATGGAAGACCTCAGAATTTCTCAAACTGTAAAACAAATTCAAGCCTTCAGTTGTGGGCAAAATCTTGAATCATCCAAATAGCATCAAAAGAAGATCGAAGGAATAAACAATCACTATGCCAAAAAGAATTAGTTCACTAAACAATTTCAAGAAGTAGCATATGAACCATATGGTAATGAAGTAACCAGTGGTAATGAAGAATGAAGTTTAAGCTGCACTTAAGGCACTGGAGAAAAATAAGGCACTAGGAATAGATGGAATATCAGTTGACAAGTTTCATCTAACAGATGCAGCTCTGGATGTGCTAACCGCTCTGTGCTAGGAAATATGGAGGACTTCTGCCTCGCCGACTGACTGAGATCCACATTTGTTCCCCATTCCCGAGAAAGGTGACCCAACAGAATGTGAACATTTTAGAACAATATCATTAATATCAAATGCAGGCAGAATGTTGCTGAAGAGCATCCAAAAATGGCTAGAACGGTACATTGACAGGGAACTGTTAGAAGTACAGGTGGAGTTTAGAAGAGGCTGTGGCACCAGGGATATCATTGTGGATGTCAGGTGGATCTTGGCTGAAAGCAGAGAATTTCAGAAAAATGTCTGTGTTTTCTTAGACTATGCAAAGGCTTTTTTTTGACTCTGGATCATAACAAACTGGCTAACATTGAGAAGAATGGGAATCTCGGAACACTTAATTATGTTCGTGAGACCAAGAAGCTGTTGTCTGAATGGAAAAAGGGAAGGGAACTCTGCAGGGTTTAAATGTGTGTCAGATTATTATCCCTTCTCTGTATCTTTTCAATCAATATGCTGAGCAAATAATTTGGAAGCTGGACTCTGAATGCAAGGAGCAGGAAGGAAGCTAGATCAACAGAAACAGAATGGACATGAGAATGCTTACCTACTGGAAAATTACAACCAATGTGATGGAACATGGCCATAAGTCACTGTATAAACTTTCACCTAAAAATAATGAAAAATGAAGAAAAAAAATTGAGAATGTTGACACTGTGTAATAAATGTAGGGGAAATAAAGCATCATAATGATTTGGTCCACAACTAATCTTGGGGTTGACACAGGATGGAGCAGTGTTGTCTTTTGCATGAGATCATCAAGAGTTGAAGGCCTAATTAACAACAGCACACTTGTTCATACTGCTAATTCCTTGAGAAGGAGGCCCAATAATAATAATAAAAAAATTGAAAACTAAACAAACACATTTCACGTAGTAGCTTGTAATTTAAACATTTGTTGTATTTAGTTTGCCATTTTAGAATAAGAATTGTAGTACCAGTCATAACCTAGATGCTTCTAAGTAGCATTTACTTAAAACTACTTTTAATAAGGCATGAGGAGCTGCCTTATGTGCTTTCCTGAATATAGTTTTTAGTAAGATGATTGTAAAGGGAAAGTTAATCTTTCAAATGCAAAGGTTAATGGCTAGAAAAGCCAGGGGTTGGTCTGTGGTATCAGGGGTTCATTGTTGACAATGCCTTTCCTAGCCATTGAGTCTAACTTTACCCCATGGATGTGTGGGGACAAGTGAATGGGATGTGTTGGTGTATTCACAAGGTGACTAGCTATTCTTGCCACTAAATTGAATGGATTCAGCAGCAAAAATTGAGAATCTCACCATCAGTAAAGAAGCAGCAAATACAGAGTGCTCAGCCTTGGGGCCAGAGATTCCTGCACTGCTCAGACCAGGGTCTACAGAAGCAGCGAACCAGAGACCTGACATGAAACAGAGCTGATATTGAGACTGCCACTCCACAGAACCAGAGTCAGGAGACTTCACCCAAGGTTGTTGATGGACTCAAGGGGACACACCATAATTGGCAGGACTAAGATCTTTGTGGAGTTCTAGTGGCCTAGTGGTAAGGAGCTGCCCTGCCAACTGGAAGGCAAGCAGTCTCCTCCCGTGTGATTTATTGCCTCAGAAAACCTGGTGGAGGTTCAGCTAGGGTCAGTTCTGACTCAAAGGTACATAACAACAAGAGCTTTGTAACACTGGCCTAAAGACTCAAGGCTGAAGGCTGAGATGCCTGCAAGCTCGTTTCGGAGGCTTTCCGGATTGAGAGTTGTATCCTGCTGCTTCCTAATAAACACCCCTGCTTTTAAGTAAAATGTATTCGTTGCATCTTAAATCCCTATTTCAGAAAATCAAAACAATGAATTTATCATTATACATTTTGTTAAACTCTGTTTATGAATGGACATAATTATCATATTCTGGGTTCCACATGGCTCAAATTATACTTTTACACTAGGCTTTGTATAGTGAATAATCCTGTTATCACTAGATTAAGTACTAAAATAAACTATGTATTTTAACTACCCACCTGTATAAAATTATGTTCTTCTTATTTTTTTTTTAACTCCCTAAGGGACTTTTGAAGGCTGAAGAGCACAGCTGGTCACTTGCAGAACTGGTCCATGCAGTAGTTCTACTCACGCACTATCATTCTCTTGCCTCATTCACCTTTGGCTGTGGAATTAGTCCAGAAATCCATTGCGATGGTGGCCACACATTCAGACCTCCTTCTGTTAGTAACTACTGCATCTGTGACATTACAAATGGCAATCATAACACAGATGAAATGCAAGTCAACTCAGCAGGAAATGTTTCAGTAAGTTTCTATCCAAAGTCCCAGGTTCATTAATAATCACAGTAATTGCAGTTGTTTATTCATTTGAAAATCTTCATTTTAAAAATACCTTGGAAAAATCTACCCTGTTAAATGCATGAAAATATTAGGTCTATCTACCTATTCCTCAGCAAGTATTTTTTTACTATCAAAATTGCAAGCACTAGTTTAGGTGCACAAAAGAGTCCTGGTGGTGGTGTAGGCTAAGCATTGAATTGCTAGCGGGAAGGTTAACAGTTTGAACCCATATGCCCCTCTGCTGTCATAAGATGAGTTAGTGTGCTTCATTGAAGATTTTTAGCCTTAGAATCCTTTCATGGAACAATTCTTTTCTGCCCTGTAGGGGTACTGTAAAATGGAATCAACTTGCTGACAATGGGATAGTGTAATACTGAGAGACAATTATAAAACCTTCTGAGAGGTTAATTACACTCAAGTAATTTTAGGATTAAGAACCCCCAAAATACTCCATCAAGACCAGCTAGTATTTAATGGCTACTGCAGAGATGGAGAAAACTGAGACCTCTTCCCTCTTGAGTCATTGGTTGGTGTTTGACACTTCCTGGTGCTGATCACATCCTTTTCTGTTCTTTTTCTCTCCTACATGCACACTAGGCTGGCATCTTAATTCATCTTTCAGAAGATTTAATTGGCCTTGCTATGAAAATAGCGCTTTAAAATTCTTTTTCAAGTTTAATGTTGCATAAATGTAGAAGTATTTCTAGACTGTAAACTTGTTAGATGTTTTTACATCTATTCTCTTTTGTATTCTGTTAGAAAAAAAAATTTAATGAAAAGAAAATTCAAAAACTTCATCCTGTGTATGATATTTATAATATTACTTGTATTTTATCTTCAGGTAAGTGATTCTTTTTTTGAAGTTGAAGCCCTGATGGAAAAGATGAAGCAATTACAGGAATGTCGGGATGAAGAAGAAGCAAGTCAGGAAGAGATGGCTTCTCGTTTTGAGATAGAGAAAAGAGAAAGTATGTGCGTCTTCTCTTCAGGTAAGAAGAATTACATGGGCAGTGTCATTTTATTGCTTACATCTTTTTTGTTTAGAGAATTTAGAATAAGTTAAACACATTAAATATATCTTTCCTTTAAGAGAAGCGATTGGATGGGTATTTCTGTTTAAAAATAATTTTTGAAGCAGGCACCTAATTCATCATATTGTCTATAGAACAGCTGCAAACTCCCCAGGCCTGCACAGCCCAGTGCTTGAGGAGTTTGCTCCTCCTGGATTAACCTTTTCACTCTTGGCATTTTGAACTAGTGACTGATGCCTTTAAGGGCCCTCTCTGTCAACCCTTATCTCCTTATTCCCAGTAAAGACCAAGAGTATCAGCAAAGTGCTAGGAAACAGCCCTGGCTACCAAAGAGATGCTACCAGCCATGTGCAGTGCAGAGTCAGTCCAAGTGGATAATTAACACTGTGTTCTGATTTATCTTTGGACTTTTATATGCCAAAAGTAAATCCTCTGTATATTCTAAGGGAGCTCTGGTGGCTTAGTGGCAAGAAGCTGCACTGCAATCCTGAAGACGTTCGAGGCCACCAGCCACTCACAGGAGAAAGAGGGACAGTCTTCTCTCATGAGATTAACTGCCTCCAAAAACCCACTGGAGGGGCAGCTATGGGTCTCTTCCATCTCTGTGGTTCACAGCAACAACAATATTCTAACTTATTTCTGTACCTATATAGAAAATTGTGCCTCATAAATTTTCTGGTTTTAAGGTAATATATTTTTAAACAAGTACTAAAGATGGACTTTTTGATCCTGCCAGCTTGAAAAGGTGTTTCTCCATGCTACACCATTACTTCATCAGGAAAAAAAAAGTTCTCTTGAAAAAAGTGCTAGACCAAAAAGGAAAACATTTGAGTTCTGATACTGAAACTACTGTTAATAAGCTTTACAAGCCTGAATAAATCGCAAGCTTCTTCCTACCTTTAGCTTTCCTTCTTTTTTCAAATAAGGAAATTTTGATCCTGGAAGGGCTGGGATTCCTTCCAGCATTAGAATTCTGTGGTTCTGTGAAAAGAATCCCTAATGAAACAATCAACAACAGCCTAAATCCTTATGCTTAGCTTTTATCCATATGCAGACTACAAGATTTAAGATAGAAAATGGATAGTTTAAAGAAGAAAAAGTTACTATCTTAAAATGCATTTTTAACAATAACAGAATAGAAGACACTATGTGTTGAAAGCATCAAGTTTTTTTAAATAACAAATTTGTATAAATGGTGAGTGGTATATTAGCTTGTCATTCCTCCAACTAAAGGTTTCATTTTTTTATCCAACCATAAAAACATAGGTTACTGCATAGTACTGTGTTGACTTAAATTACCTCTTCCCTATCACCCATACCCAAACTCTTCACCATTTTAGAATTGTTTCTAGGACCAATATTAAGCTCTTAGAGAAATCACAGAATGTATGGAAAGACATTAATATTCAAATCATAGAATGTATGGAAAGACATTAATATTCAGATAAGTCTAAGTTTTATATTGAGTATAGCTGATTTTTTGCTGAGTGAATAATTCATGAAGCTGGAATCTATGAAGAGGAATGTGGCATCAGCATCGGAGGAAGACTCACTAACAACATTCAGTATGCAGATGACACAACCTTTCTTGCCAGACATGAGGAGGACAGCAAACACTTGCTGCAGAAGATCAAGAACTATAACCTTCAGTATAGATTACTTCTTAACATTAAAAAACTCTCGCCAGTGGGCGATAGATAGATAGATAGATAGATAGATAGATAGATAGATAGATAGATAGATAGAGAAAGAATTGAAATTGTCAGTGATTTCATCTTGTTTGGGTCAACAATCAACACCCTTCTTACCAGGAAATCAGTGGGCACTGGGCAAGTCTGCTGTTAGGGACCTCTCTAACATTCTTAAGACCAGTGATGTCAGTCTGAAGACTAAAGTGTGCCTGATTCAGTCATGGTCTTCTCAGTCACCTGCTATGCATCAGAGAGCTGGACAGTGAATAAGGATGACAGAAGAATATTGATGCCTTTGAACTGTAATGTTGGAGAAGATTACTGAATATCCTGTGGACTGCCGAAAGAACAGACAGATAGTTCTTGGAGAAAGTGCAGCCAGAGTGCTCCGTGGAGGTAAAGATGATGAAGATTTGGCTCCCATACTTTAGACGTGTTGCTAGGCAAGGCTATTCCTTAAAACAAGACATCATGCTTGAAAAGATGGAAGGTTAGTGACGGAGAGGAAGACTCCCCAATGAGATGGACTGACACAGAGCTGGCAGCAGTGGGTTCATGTATATTAAGAAGGATGAGGACGGCACAGGATAGGGCAGGGTTCAGGTCAGTTGTTCATAGAGTTGGTATGCGTCGTACTCAGTGGTATAACAACCACCATCACATTATCACCTTAACGATTATCCACAAAGATAATCATACTTGTATACATAACTTACTGTTGTTATTAGTGCAATCCACTTGGTTTTGTACTCGTTGAAGCCCTTAGAAAACTTCTCCGTAGGATTTTCTTGGCCATAATTATTATGGAAACAGGTTGCCAGGCTTTTCTCCTGCTAAGCTGCTAATGGGCTCCAATCAAAGTTTTGGTTAGCAACTGGGTGCTCAACCATTGCCCCTGAAGACCTCCCCATTACACCTTAATAGACATGTGCTGCTGTTGAGTTAGAGCCGACCCATAGCTGACCCTTCAGCGGGTTTTCAGACACAGTTAATCCCATCCTTCTCCCACGGAGCAGCTGGTGGATTAGAATTTCAGGATTGCAGCACCACATCCATATATTAAGTGGAAATAACAGGAGGATTACAAGTGCTATTAAAAAATAAAAGGCTTAGAGAATTGTACTACTATCTTATTTTAAACAGAAGCTCCTTTAAGTAAATTTCATTTATTAAAAAGTAAACTTTTATCGTTTTCAGGCTTTAGTTTTTTAAAAAATATTGACTATTCAATATCAAAAATATTATCCTATTTTTATGTGTTATTGGTAACATTAATTTTAAGTTACATTATGTTTTTAAAGTTTTCAATGACATTCTTCTCTTTAACTATTTCAGATGATGAAGAAGTTACACCAGCAAGAGATGTATCTCGTCATTTTGAGGATACTAGTTACGGCTATAAGGATTTCTCTAGACATGGAATGCATGTTCCAACATTTCGTGTCCAGGTAAAATTTCAAACTGGTGTGTGCCTAGATAGGCAGCCATTAATTAGAAGATGTTTTTCCCATTCCCATGAAATGTAAGTCAACACACTGTGGAACATATTGAACATCATCATTAATATCACATGCAAGCAATGTATTGCTTCAAATAAAAAATGACTGGAACAGTGCATAGACAAGTAACTGCCAGAATTTGAGCACCAGCGATAATGCTGTGGATGTCGTCAGATGGATGCTGGCTGAAAACAGAGAATACCAAAAGAATGTCTATTTGTGTTTTATTGACTATGCAAAGACATTTGACTGTATGGAGCATAACAAATAATGGCTAACATTAAAGAATGGGAATCCCAGAATACTTAATTGTACAAAACAAGAAGCTGTTGTCTGAACAGAACAAGGGAACATAGTTTAAAGGCAGGAAAGGTGTGTATCAGGAAGGTGTCCTTTCTCCATAGTTATTTAATCTGTATGCTGAACAAATCATTCGAATAGCTGAGCTCTATAAAGAAGAATGTCAGATCAGTATCAGAAGACTTGAATTATACAGATGACACAAGCGTGCTAAAGTTAAGAGAACTTGAAATGCTTGCTGTAGAAGATTAAAGACTACAGCCTTCAATATGGATTGCATCTCAACATCTAGAAAAAAATGCTGACCACTGTATGAATAAGCAACATCATGATAGATGGAGAAGAGCAGTATTGAAGTTGTCAATAATTCATCTAACTTGGATTCACAACCAACATCTCCGGTACCAGCAGTCAAGAAACATATTGAATTGGGCAGTAAATACATATCTGGTCAGGGACTTCTCCAGATTACTCAAGCACAGTGATGTCATTTTGAAGGCTAAGGTGTACCTGATCACACATGGTCTTTTCAGTCACTTGCTAAACATCTGAGGACTGGACAGTGACTAAGGATAACAGAATTTTTAATGATGCCTTTGAGCTGTGGTGTTGCAGAATATTACTGAATATCCCATGGACTGCCAAAAGAGTAAACAAATCTATGTTGGAGAAAGTGCAGCCAGAGTGCTCGTTGGAGGCAAAGATAATGAAGTCTTGTCTCACATATTTTAGGCATACTGTTAGGAGAGGCTGTTCCTTGGAAAAAGACATCATGATTGGAAGGTTGGAAGGTCCATGAAAGAGAGGAAGACCCTTAATCAGATTAATTGATATGATACAGTGACTGCAACAATCAACACAAGTGTGTCGCAGATGAAGATGAATTAGAATAAGGCAGGGTTTAGATCTGGTATTCACAGGGTCACTATGAGTCATACTTGACAACACCTAACAATACAAACTAACAGAAGATTTTACATAAATAAATACATTTTCCTATTTTCAGCCAAATTCTCTGGTGTTTATTATGTCATGAAAATTCATAAATTGATTACTCAGAATTCAGAATTCATTCAGTCATAAACAGAATTATCAAGGTAACTTGGGTATTCTCAGGACGGTGCACTAAATCAAATTAAATTACATAAATAAAAGTCATGTTTGATAAATTGTACTTGTTCTAGAACCTAGCCGAGGAGATCTATCTTAGTGGTAAGGAGTTGTGCTGCCACCTCAAAGGCATGAGGTTCAAACCCACCAGCTGCTCAGCAGGAGAGAGATGGCCAGTCTCCTCTTGTGTGATTTATTGGCTCTGAAAACCCACCAGAGGCTCAGCTGTCTGTCAGTTCCTACTCAGTGGTATATATAATAATAACTACAACAGAACCTACCCATACCTATATATACCCAAACCATCAGACCTATTCAGTTTAAATATAACCCAAGAAACTGGACTACTTGAAAAGAATGCTTCAGGATTAGAGAGTAACTTACAAAGGTGGTGCTGATGACACAAACTTGCTTGCTGAAAATGAAGAGAACTCAAAACTCTTAAGATCAATGATGATAGAGCCTTCCGTATGGATTACACATCAACATCAAGAAAACAAATCCTCAAAACTAGATTAACAAACATTATGATAAACAAAGAGAGTGAAATTGTCAATGATTTTATTTTACTTGGATCCACAAACAGCATAGGAAGAACCAGCATTCAGGGAATCAGAAGACCTATTACAAAGGGCAAATCTGCTGTTAAAGACCTCTTGAAAGTGATAATGAGCAAGGTTATCACTTTAAAGACTTAGGTGCACTTGAGCCTTGCCATAGTATTTTCGGTTGCTTCATATGCAAGTGCAAGGTAGAGGGTAGGTGAAAAAGAGGAAGACCTTCAGTGAGATGGATTGATGCAGTGACTACCAAAGTGAACTCAAGATTGTGAGGATGGTTCAGATCTGTTGTTCATAGGATTGCTATTAGTTGAGTCAGCTTGACTACTTGACAATTTATATGTAAGAAAGTTGGGTAGTGAATAAGGAAGACAAAAGACTTGATGCTTTTGAGTTGTGGTGGTGGCAGAAGTATCCAATGGGTTGCCCAAAGAACAAGATAATATGTCTCGGAAGAGGTCCAGCTGGAGTGTTCCTCAGAAGCAAATATTTTATCAAGAGGGACCAGTCATTTGAAAGGGGCATCATGCTTGGCAAGGCAGAGGATCAGGGAAAGACAGGAAGATCCTTCCTGACATAGAATGACAGACACAGTGATTGCAGGAATGGGTTTCAACACAGAGGAGATTGCAAAGGTGGTACAGCATATAATTTCACACTAGAAGTTGAGATTGTCAATTAGCAAATGTTTTTGAACTCCAGTTTTATAAGCCTTTTTGTCATCCATAAATACATACGGTAGCTTAATTATATATCTTATGTCTAATAGATAAGTACTTAATTTAGATGATCTGAAACTCCTAACTTTACTAGTAATTGTGTGGGGCCAATGTTCAGTAATAAGTAGTTCACCAGAACTATCAAAATACTTGGGAATTCTGAGATTTTCTTCTCTTGCTGAAGGAACATGAAGATACTCTAAAAACAAGACAGGAGTGTGAGGGAAATGGAAATAATTTGTTCAGATTTGTATTTGAATTTTGAAAATTAGTAGGAAAAAATAAAAACAAAAAATGCAAAAATAAATAGGACAAATGTTGGACTCAAAAAAGAGTTCTAGAATATTTGTATTTGATAGTTAAATTTTTATATGAAACAGAATGAATTTTAAATTAGTTCATGTTGACTGGAAATTTTATGGAGATAGAATTTGAATGGGGTTTTTAATATGGTCAACGAACCAAGGTGAGAGAAAACTGTAGGCAATAATTGATCTTCAGTTGCAGGACAGAGTGAGGGAAAGCCCTCCCATGAGACTGGCTGGGATTCCAATAAAGAATTCCTACAATGAGAATTTAAAGTTGTTCAGGTGTGCACATACCAGGCAGAACAGTTTAGATTAAACAGAATTTATAGTTTATTGAAGGAGAATTGCTGGCACAGTGGTTAAGTGTTCAGCTCCTAACCAGAGTTCCGGAGTTTGAACCCAGGGCTACCCGACAAGCCAAGATTTGGCAGTCCACTTCTGCGCAGATAGATTTACAACCCTGGATATGGCCAGACCGTTTTACTTTATCCAATAGGGTCACTCTAAGTCAGCACAGGCTCAGTGGCAATGGGTTTGAGTGTTGTTTGTTTATCAAGGGCTTGCCTATACTAAAAGAAACAGAACGAAATGTAATTAAGTATTAAGTATTTACCTATTAGACATTAAGATATATAATTAAAAGACATGTTTTAGAAAAATAAATATGGGAACAACCGAAATGGGGCTTAGTAAATTTTTAGAAAAAGAATGAAGGCGCCTTTACGAAGATGGCGCCGAAAGCTAAGAAGGAAGCCCCTGCCCCTCCCAAAACTGAAGCCAAAGCAAAGGCATTAAAGGCCAAGAAGGCAGTCCTGAAGGGCATCCACAGCCAAAAAAAAAAAAGAAGATCCGCACGTCACCCACCTTCCAGCGGCCTGAGATGCTAAGACTCCGAAGGCAGCCCAAATACCCTCGGAAAAGTGCCCCCAGGAGAAACAAGCTTGACCATGATGCCGTCATCAAATTTCCCCTGACCACTGAGTCAGCTATGAAGAAGATAGAAGATAACAACACACTTGTGTTCATTGTGGATGTCAAGGCCAATAAGCACCAAATTAAACAAGCTGTAAAGAAGCTCTATGACATTGATGTGGCTAAGGTCAACACTTTGATTAGGCCTGATGGAGAGAAGAAGGCCTATGTTCGACTTGCTCCTGAATATGATGCTTTGGATGTTGCCAACAAAATTGGGATCATCTAAACTGAGTCCACCGGGCTAATTCTAAATATAAATTTTTCTCACCATAAAAAAAAAAAAAAGAATGAAGCCAGTAATGGAAAAGAAAGAGGGTTCCCAAGATTAGTTGACCCTTCTAGGCTGAGAGATTAAGAAAACAGAATTTGTCTGTGGAGCCCTGGTGGTGCAGTAGTAAGCACTTGTTAGCTGTAAAGTCTGTGGTTTGAACTCAGCAGACAGTCCAGGGAAGGAAGATGTGACAGTCTGGTTCCATGGAGACTTATATCCTTGGAAATCCTATTGGGCAGTTTTACCTTGTCCTAATTGCTTGAAAGTTGGGCAGTAAATAAGGATGACAGAAAAAGAAATCAGTGCCTTTGACTTGTGATATTGGAGAAGAGTACTGAATACCCTGTGGATGCCAAAAGAACAAACAAGTCTGTCTTAGAGGAAGAGCAACCACGGTGGTGCTTAGAGGCAAGGATGGTGGACCTCCGTCTCATGGACTTTGGGCCTGTTGTTAGTAGGGGTCAGTCTTTGGAAAAGATACTATTTTAGGAAAGGTAGAGAGGGTCGAAGATACGAAGACTCTCTGATGGATTGACACCATGACTGTCAATAAGCTTGAGCATATTGGGGATCCTAAAGATGGTGCAGGATAGGTCAAGGGTCAGATCTGTTGTTCATAGGGCTGCTATGAAGTATAGTTGACTCAGTGGCACCTAATAACAACATAGAAACCCTGAGTCAGAGTTGACTCAGTGGCAATGGCTTGTTTTGGATTTTTTAGTTGGTGTTAGGGAAGAGATGTCACTGGTTTTTAAAGTCTGTAACAGTTACAAAATGTCACTTTTTGCATGCTTCAATTTAGAATTTGAAAACATGTGACTCTATTATTAAAAAACTGGGTTCTCACTGCCAGTGAGCTCACCACACTATAGAACATTTTAAGCATTCCCTTTTCTTCTATTCCTTGTATTCAGGATTATTGCTGGGAAGACCATGGTTATTCTTTGGTAAATCGCCTTTATCCAGATGTGGGACAGTTGATTGATGAAAAATTTCATATTGCTTACAATCTTACTTATAACACCATGGCAATGCACAAAGATGTTGATACCTCAATGTTAAGACGTGCTATTTGGAACTATATTCACTGCATGTTTGGAATAAGGTTAGTCTGTTTAATTTTTGTATTTATAAATATTCTTTTGTGCTAAATTACTTAAACACATTTCTGCATATACTCATAACCATTCCCTTCCAGTAGTCTATGCTTCAAAAAACTAACTTAATGCAGCTTGTTTCCTCTCTCCTAGTTAGGCAAAAGAGAGGATCAGAGACATTGACAAGAATTAAAGAGCAAGTAGTCTTAGAATATATTGAGACAAAAAAGAGGCAAGGTTTGTCACCAAACATCTCTGGTCCCCGTTTTATATCTATGTTGTTATGTACTGTTGAGTTGGAACCAATCCATAGCTGATCCTCCAGCAGGTTTTTAGAGACAGTAAATCACATGGGAGGAGATGGCCCAGAGCAGCTTTAGATTTGAACCATGTGCTTTGGTTGGCAGCAGCACAGATCCTTACCATTAGGCCACTGGAGCTCATTGTTGCATATATATAAAGTACAGCAACATCATTACATATGTATGTGCATGTATATATTTTTATCTGTACCTCATAATATCTGTATATGTATATATCTTAGATATATATGTATCTAGGAAACCCTACTAGGCAGTTCTCCTTTGCCCTACAGGACTGTAATGAATCACAAATGACTTAGTAGCAATGACTTTGTTTTGGTTTTGTTTCTTGGTTGGTGTTAGGGAAAGACTCCATTGCTTTATATAAATTTATAGAGTTATATTCTCTACTATTTTTCAAAATACTTTATTTCTGCCTTCTGGAGACTCAGTACTCTTCATACCACTCTTCTGAATGTTCTCAAGGTTCTCCTGTACCCTCCTCAATCTTACTTCATAAAAAGTCAAGTCCTTGCTATTAAATAGCTACATTATTATGTTTTATAGGAAATACAGACATTATATACCTACTTCTCATACAGGGAGACCAGCTCCATGACAATATAAAGTCTTGCTATTCACTTTACAGGCTTGGTTAATTATTGATTTTAACCTCTTGAAGGTTGTGAGACCAGATCTACAGAAGCTCTCTCCGCTAAAAACCAGAGACTGTAGTGCTGAATGTTCTAGAATCCATCACCACTGGAGCAGAGCAGACATCTGAGGGAAATACACTCAGAACAGCCCCCCAGGTGTAGTTACGTGAGGCTATCTGTATAGATCATCCTTCCCTCCAGGACGACCCCTTTCTCTCATCTGACCTAAGAAACTCATGGAAACATATATAAATGTGAAGTAAGCAATTAAAATGATCCATGTTTTGTAATAGCCCTGATAATATTAATTATTTCAGCACTATTCCAGCATTCATTCATGATTATAAATATATATTATTACCTGGTACTCAGTGCTACAATATCCTTATTAAGTTTCAAGGATAACTTGTAATGGAAGCACTAGTAAATTGTCCCCCTCCTTGAGCTCAATGCTTCTTATGTCTTTACCCTCAATTAAGCATTAAGAACTATTACCATTTGTGGGATAGCTGCCTATGCACAGGACCCTGACATCCAGTCAGAACCAACTCATAACCAACCCTCCATTAGATTTCTCAAGCTATAAATCTCACAGGAGACACATGCCCATCTTTCTCCCGTGCCTCTACATAGGAAGATAAAAGCATTTCTATTGATGTCTGTACTTCTTAAAGAAAAATATTATGCATTAAAAATGGAATTTTCTTTGTATCTTTAAACAGGTATGATGATTATGACTATGGTGAAATTAACCAGCTACTGGACCGTAGTTTTAAAGTTTATATCAAAACTGTTGTTTGCACTCCTGAAAAGGTTACCAAACGAATGTATGATAGCTTCTGGAGGCAATTCAAGCACTCTGAGAAGGTACCTAACTATTTTTACTTGTTTGTAGTACAATAATTTTTATTCTCTTTCACATAATGGCTCCCAACCCTATGATCCACATCAGTCCAAAGAACAACATTCCTGGCCCCTCGTCAGAGCTGTTGGCCTGGTTGCATCATTTAGGAGAAAGAAGAATGTTTTACAAGAGCCTTTTTTAATTGTGTGTAGATAGAACATATCTGGCCTCTTGGCAACATCTTTAAAGAGATTAGTGAAGAATATACTCTATGTACCATTGAGTCAGAACTGACTCAAAGCTGACCCTCCGGCTGGTTTTCAGAAGTAGTAAATCTCATGGGAGGAAATTGCTCATCTTTCTCCTGCAGTGCAGCTGGTGGATTCAAACCATATGCCTTTGTGTTGGCAGCACGGCTCCTTACCTCTAGGCCAGCAAAGCTCCCTGAAGGATGATTTTGTTGTTGTTATGTGCCATTGAGATGATTAGGTAGAGAGAGTTGGTATTCTGACAAAGCAGTTTTTTTTATTTTTTGAATTTTGACAGTCCTTCAATAAGAGACATGATCAAATATAAAAGAAAGCCCATAATATCCGAAAGGAAGATTAAATAGTTGTTAATTGACTTAGATATAATGATATTCTGTCAAACAAGCCCAACTTTTTTTTAAAGATAATTTTTATTTATTTCTTTATTCTTTTTATGTGTGTACTGTCAGATTGGATCTGACTGGTACAGGAGGCGATTGTTCCTCCTTCTTCAGCAGAGCATCTGGTGGATTTGAACCACGCACCTCTGGGATTGCAGTGCACTTTCCTGCCTCTAGGCCACCAGAGCTCACCAAGCCCAACATTTTTAAATTATTCAGTGACATAATGAAATTTATCTTGGGGGTTTGTTAGATGCACTGAAAGACTGATCATGAATGCTTAGAATCTTTCTTTATGTGATCTTGTGTTTTCTATTTAGGTTCATGTTAATCTGCTTCTTATAGAAGCTAGGATGCAAGCAGAACTCCTGTACGCTCTGAGAGCCATTACCCGCTATATGACCTGATACCTTTTCTCCATTGAAGATGATGGAATGATCAGCAGATAAGAGTCTACAAGGGAAAGGACCCCAGGACCAATGGTAGATAAAAGAATTCAGAATCCATTGTGCCATGATTCCTTTAGTTTCTGCTATTTTACTGTGGAGATGCCACTGCTGGCACGAGCAGTGAACGCTTGGCAGCTTCAGGGTTAGAGCTGTGAAGAAGGCTGCCATTCACAGTATTTTGCTTTTGACAGTACAAGATGCTGTATAACATTTTTAATACAGCAAATAGTAACTCTCCAAATCCTGTTGCTTTTTATGTTAAATAAGATAACAAGAATTGGAGCATGCAAAGAATGGGAGTTGGATAATGACTTAAGCTTTATACATAAAGATTTTTAGAAGATCTTGGTGCTGCTATTCCTGCCGGTGGAATGAATAGAATGGCTGTTCCAATTAAGCTATTAGTAATAAAAGTGAACACTGCTACTCTCTGAGCCTACATACATAATTAGTGTGGTTTCAAATTAAACTTGCCTATGTGTTATTTTTTTGCATCTAAAAAAGTATAGAAATATTACTCACAGCTCAGCAAAAACCATTTTGATGGTAACAACAGTTCTTTTCTTTCACTATAGATTTTTTTTTTAATTCAGAGCTATTGGATGGCATTAAGTTGCCATGATATTTTTCAAGATTTTCTTTAAGGAGCAATCTTAAATGAAAGCCTGTAAATTATAAGAAAAGCTAGCTATGTTTTGATATACTGTTTCCCAAGATTCTCTGACACTGGAGGACAGCTGTCTTGTGCAGTATTTTTGTTTCCAGCACCAAAATTGTGGAACTGTTTCTGTAGACTGCTGCGCAGTCCTAGGTGCATTTGAGCCCTCTGTTCTGCCCACCTCCGTGGTTCCCACTTTAAAGATTGTACAGCTCCTTAGGGAATAATAAAGCTGGAAAATATTTTTTAGTTGGGTTATTAAATTGGATTTCAAAAAAAAACGCTAATGTGTTTGAAATGCAAGAATGTTTGGAAAAATGTATTAAGAACTTTGTATTCTGAAAGTGTGAGTTGCTTTTGAAGTCTGTCAGTATTATTGGTATTTTTCAATAAAGAATAATTTTTCTCCATTTATTATTTTCTGTCTCATTTCCTTTAAAAAAACAAGACCTAACAATTCTGTCTCTATTTCCTTTTACAAACCAAGTTGAGTAATACTTAATGAGCCTATGAGATGTGAAGCTCCCAGTCATTTTAGAAAATACCAAAAGTAGTAGGCCTACAGGATGTTACTCTATTTAAAGCCATTTTTATCTTAGTAAGGGCTGATACAGTGTCCCTTCCTCATCCATTTTGAATTGAAGTAATCTTAGAAATCAAATAGAATTACTAAAAATAAAGACTTCTTGTCATAGTCTAATCCAGCACAACTCATAAACACCCTATGAACAAAAGACTGGAAGCCTTTCTGTAACCATCGTCGTCTCTCAGCGTTCACAGAGTTTCCAGAGGCATGTTGTTTAGGAAGTGGATGCCACTCCTGCTTCCAAACTTGTCTTCAACTGGGAGCTCCACCAGTCACTATCCATGGTAACCATGGATAACCATAGGTAATCACAGCAACCACAGGTTACCTATGTACAGCAAATTGACAGAAGTGTGCTGAACCACTTAGAAAGACTAATTACAAAAGCAAAAAAGTAAACAAGGACTGGGGCAAATGACTAGAAATTTAATCCAAGCTATTGTAATAACTGTTACCCATCATTAATTGACATTGCTCTATCAATGGGTAATAGAGTAGAAGGCATAATTTTGAGTCAAGGTGGTCTCTGCCCTCAAGGATATGTACTTTAGTGAAAATGCTGTTCTTACGTGCCTTCACGTCAGAGCCAACTCCTAGCTGACCCTCCGTTGGATTATTAGAGGTAGTGAGTTACACAGGAGATTGCCCATCTTCATACCACAGAGTGGCTGGTGGATTGGAACTGCCTACCTTTGGGTTAGCAGTGCAACTCCTTACTACTAGGCCCTCAGAGCGCCCTTTAGTGAGAACAGATGTTACTTACTGCCACCTGTCAGTTGGCCATGATACACAACAGAAGGAAACACTGCCTTTGTCCTGAGCCATCCCTATGCCTGACTGTCGATTAGGCTATTGCTACCCAGACTATTTTCATTTACTCATTTTTAAAACTAAATCTCTAGCTTGCTCTTTCCAGTTGATCCAAGTATGGAGGCTCCACTGAAACATGTACACTTCTTCACTCACAGCTGTTGAGTCAGAACCATCTTAGCTGACCCTCCAGAGGGTTTTCAGAGGCTGTACATCACACTGGAGAAGACTGCCCATCTATCTCACACAGAGGTGCTAATGGATTCGAACCACCAGAGAGACATCATCTATCCACTAGATGACCAGAGTCCTCTATAGGCATCCTAGCAAGCTGCACACCTTCACTGACAAATGGGTCATACCTGCACATAATACGGATTAGACAAGAATCAAATCTGAATGTCCTTTATACAAGGTGAGAATTCTACCAATGAAACCTTAAAACTAGATCATTATCTTTAATATTTTTTCATTTAAAAGTATCTTGCTAGATTAACCAGATCACCCAACTCACTTTTCTACAGATTTGGAAGTTACCAGGTGTCCTGTACAGTGAATTTGTATCATCCTTGCCTCCTGCATCTGCCTGCTTCCGAGTATTTTGTCATACAAGTGACCATAATGAGGTTGCTCTAGATAAATTTTAAAACTTTACTAATTCTGTTACTGCTTTTTCTTCTGAGTACCTTCTCATCACAATACAGTTTTCAAAAAAAGCATCAAGATCAACTAGAATGCATTAGTTGAAACGTGAAAATTTTGAGTAGAAAAGCATTTTTATACAGAAAGCATTAAGACATATTGTGATATAAAGTTGCTGTTGCAGCACTTCCCATTTTACAGGTGCTTCCTGTTACTCAACATTTTCCCAAATAAACCCATAGGATTCCCAATGTTACTATAATCTTTGAAAATAGTTTTCAAAATAATTGAGTAAAGTGAAATATTCTACAAGATATTAAAACCCTTCCCAGCCATGGAGAATTTTTTTTTCTTAATCATGAAAAGCTTTCTGGTTAAGGCTTTCAGGATTTGATTTTTTTAAAGCTGAGAGGTTTTGGTGACATTTAGGGAGCTTTTATATGAGGCTACACTTAAGTGATTTTTACTATAAAAATTAGATTCCAAGAACTTTTATATTCACAATAATTTAGGTTTAACTTCTCCATACAAAATATGATGTTTTTTAAGCTTTAGAATCCAGTGAGATTTTTACTCTAATAGCTATTTCAAACGGATTTTTACATAAATGGTACAAAAGTAGGTAAACGGAACTTGGTAGGACAAGCCGTGTTTTCCATCATTTTAAATACTCCAAAAGCTTACTAGCTCAGGATAGGACAGGGCTCAGGGTTATTTTTCATGAGTGGCAGTTGACTCAAAAGCACATGACAACAAAAGGTTATTAACACCTTTGTGAATACAAAGAAGTGGCAGAGGCAGCAGGTGGATGGTTCTAAGCTGTTCAGCTGACAATGAGTCTGAAGAGGGAGGAGGTAAGAGAGTAAGACCACCATCAGAACCTACTTGATTTCAAGGGAGACAATGTGAATCAAGATCAGACCAAGATTTAACAAGGCCAAGTGGAGGGAGATCAGTTCTACCGCCCCTCCAACCTTTCCACCAACACTCACACCAGCTGTGTCTCCCACAGCACACTCTTCAGCTGAGTTTACATTTCGTTGCAATTCCATCACAACTCTCACCATATTAGACAGCTGATTAAGGAACAGGGTACCGCTAGGATTAGGATCAGCAGGGTACGTCTCAAGATCAGGAAGTGTGTAGGCAAAGCCTTCCTCCTTCAAGGCAGAATGGCTCTCCGCTCCTCTCAACTCCGGACTTCTAGAGGCAGGCCACCTCTAAGGCCCTCCCTGGGTAGGCTTCTCTTGGCCCGGCCATCTGTAGCCACTATACCACTGAACCCCTTTTACTTCTGTCACTGTCTTCAGTGTTGCAGCTGTTTAGGAACTTCATTGATCTCTCTACAGTTATTTCTGTCTCAAAAGCCTCAGGGAGCTGGTTGTTTGAATACACAAACTCCTTGCCAATTTCAAGGCTTATTCCCATCCAGGCTGCAAAATGGCCAATCCCCTTTTGGTCGTAGGCCACAGAATCTTCATTTGCATAGTAGATTTAAATTTACCTTATTTACATACCTTACTGATCAGTCCTGCAAGGGAACAGCAGTCATGGTACAGGTAGCAGCCCGCCTTCAGGTAAAAGCTATCAAATCATCTGACCAGCTGACTCAGGAAATGTCAATCAGAAAAAACAATTTATGGTAGAAAACTAGAACAAAGGTAATTCCCCAGGACTTAGGCGAACATTCTGTTTTTGAAAGAGCTAAGGCAAAAGGTCACATATGGGAACTCATTTTACCACAGGAGCAATGTAGTATGGATAGGAATAAGTATAAAGGTATTCTAGTAGGGGCTACATACAAGTTATAAATTCTAAAGGGGCTGTTTTGGGGGAGGAAGTTTGCTCTTCTTCACTGCAAATAGAATATATTGCCTGGTGTGGATAAAATGAAGATTTAATATTTAAATATTTTGAAGATACCTCCCCTTCAGGTACCCCATTCTCTCAGGATCCTCTGGACTTTGTTAACAACCAGCCAGTCAGTCAGGCCAGATCTACATCAGAAGCACAGAGCTCCACACAGAGCCAGAGTCTGGTTTTGTGCCTTAACCTCACAATGTCTCTCATGCTGTTTTCTATCTCATGTTTAGAGGTCAGTCCAACTCCCCTGTATCAGTTTCAGGGAGGGCTTTTGTCTCAGGCAGCACTGGAGAAATTTCTTGCCCCTGAGCTCCTACTTCAGAACTGCTGTCTTGGGGCATAGTGTCTCTGCCCTTCCTTATGCACCACATGGCTGAAGGGGAGGGAAAATGGTGGTCTCAGCTGCTTGCTGCATGTGACACACTGGGGTTCCCAATGCAAGTGAGAGGTGCAAAAACTCAGGAACAGGTTTGAGGCATTGAACACTAAAGAATGAAGACCAGATGAGCTATCAGAGGATATCAAGAGTATCATCCATGAAGAATGCAAAAGATCATTACAAGGACAGAAGATCAAATACTGCACTGGAGCACCAAGAAGCCAAAGCAAAGGGATAAGATGAAGAAGTTAAGGAGCTGAATAGAAGATTTCAAAGGGCAGCATGAGAAGATAAAGTATTATAATGAAATGTGCAAAGAACTGCAGTACAAAAAATCAAAAGGGTCATTCTCAGTTGGCATTTCTTAAGCTGAAGGAACTAAAGAACAAATTCAAGCTTTAGTCACAATATTTAAGGATGCTATGGGTGGAATACTGAATGATGCAGGAAATATTAAAAGAAGATAGAATATCCTGAGTCACTTTACTGAAAAGAATTGGATGACATAGAAGAATTTCAAGAAACAACATATGATCAAGCGACAATAGTAAGGAAGGAAAAAGTTCAGGCTGTTCTGAAGGACTTGGTAAAAAAATCAAGCCCCAGGAACTGATGGAATACCAATTGATATATTTCAACAAACAGATGTTGCCCTTGACGTATTCATCAGGTTGTGCCAAGAAATGTGGAGGGCAACTACCTGGCCAACTGACTGGAAGAGATCCATATTTATTTCCATTAAAAAAAAAGGTGACTCAATAAGAGTGTTAAAATTACTGTACAATATCATATCACACACAAGCAAAATCTTCCTGAAGACTATCCAGAAACAACCGGAACAGTACACTGACAGAGAACTGTTAGAAATACAAGCTGAGTTTAAAAGAGGTTGTGGCACTAGAAACATTATCATCAATATCAGATGGATCTTAACAGAAAGCAAAGAGTATCAGAGAAATACCTATTTGTGTTTGATTGACTATGCAAAGGCATTTGACTGTGTGGATCACAACAAACTGTACTTAACCTTGAGGAGAATGGAAATCCCAGAACACTTGATTGTGCTTATGTGGAACCTATACTTGGACCAGGAAGCAGTCCTCTGACCAGGGAAACATTACATGGTTCAAAAT